GTGGCTCCCAGTGTGGACCATCCCTCCACCCCCTCCACTCCATGGCTCTGATGTCCCTTGATGTCAAAAAGGTTTTCGACTGGGTGAACTGGAGATATACAGAGGCAGTATTGGAGGCCTTCGGCATCAGTGATCCATTCAGAAACAGTGCTATGGCTCTCTACACAGTCTCTTCTGCTATAGTTTCTGGTTGTACATTTGCTTTGGATTTGCTTTAGATTGTAAAGGTGTAGCCATTGGCAGCCCTTATTAGGCAGGAAAATATGATCAAGGGAATTATGCTTAACTTAATAGATAAAAAGATTAGACTGTATGCAGATGATGTGGTCCTGTCCCCGATGGACCCCATAGAATCCAGGCCAGAGATATTCAGTTTGATTAATACATTTGGCAAATTATTGGGTTATAAGGTCAATGTAAATAAGATTTAAACTTTGTCAAAACATATTCCGGGGGTTGAGTTACACATTTAAAAAAACTTTTTTTTCTGTAATTGAGAGGCAACTAGTATCAACTACCTGGGAATAAAATTGTTGTTAGTCCTTGAGGTAATGCCCAATGCTAATTATATTGACCTCCTAGCAGAAGTAACATCCTTTACTAATTTTAAAGGGTCAGAGATTTCCTGGCTTGGGAGAGATGAAATGTGGTTAATTCCTATGTAATCCCAGAGTTGGTTTATCTATTTAGAAATATCTCATTAGAGGTGTGTGACAGACCCATCTGTCTGTGAATTACTTTTTATCTTACCTTCATTCGTCTGTTTGTTCAGCTATTTCCCTGTCCGTACAGCCCCTACGTTATTCCCCTGTTTCACCGAAAGAACTGCCGAACGGCCGGACACCCAGCAGGGAAGTGTGCTGCTTGTTAACCTCTTGGCCCCATCAGAACATTGTGGTTAACCGCAGACACTTCCTAATTGTCGAATGTTGGCTGGATGGTCGTCGTTCGTATGATTGAACACGAGGCGGCGGCTATCTTGGACGTACAAATGCCCAGCGGTGTTCGTCGACGATTTCATGGAACTGAAATGGATATTTTCTCACGAACACTGCTGAAGCCGCCAACCTCCCTTCTTCTGTTCCTCCAGCATACGAACGCCGGCCTGTTCGGTACTTTTCCTCACGAATGGAGTCACCTCAGATAGCTATCCCATGGAGCCCATTTGTATAACGAAAGACTGTGTGAAATACTTTGGCTCCATGGCGATTGAACTGTATGTATGCGATCTGAGCACCATTTGGTAATAATGTGCACTCAAGATCTAATCTATTTGGGGATACCTTGAACATGCATGTTGTCAGAATATTTATATCAACAGACATTTTGTGCTAAAAAGAAATTAAAAGTGCTGTCCAGAACAGAGCGGACTCCATTTTGCTATCTTCAGGATAACAAAGACACATCATTTCCTTGATTTCACTAACCAAGTGATAAGCAATTAAACAGGGGGATGGAATCCTCTGTCTAAATGTTAAAGGAATGCATTACATAAACACAGAAACTAGTGACAGAGAAGACTAAGTAATTAATTTTACTTTCTAAATTTCACAAGGTTCCATTGCAAGTAAGGGGTGAAATTGAGTTTAGAACTGTCAATTTTACAAATTATGATCAAAGTAGTTGCCACAAAGACTGAGACAAATGCTTTGAACTGACAGCAAATTTAAGTTATGGTAGTCATTTTAGATAAGCCAAATGACATCAAAATTGTCATCAGGAAAAGTTAACTCTTTCTTGGATAAGAAGGATTAGTTAGGCAAGACTGCCCTCTATGAATCAAATACCTAAATTTCGATCCATAGATTGAACACATCTACGGTTTCCTATTGGTTTATCAACTAATGACGTACAGAGAGTCTGGCCCTTTAAAAGTTAGGACAAAGGGAAGAGAAGTTAGTTGGTAGAGAGACGAGGTGAAGTTTGGGGAATTCCGATTCGGACATGCAGAGGGAGAGACTCATGAAAAATTCTCTGGGACTAACACTCTACTCAAACTCTTGGACACTCAACTCTTTTAAACTCCTTGACACTTAAAATTTACTGATACTTTCTAACCAACACCACTTTTCTCTATCACTCACGCACCTCCATATAACCAATCAAGTTCCTTGGACTATCTACTCATCTGATGAGAATATCTACATAACTGGTAATTATGCTGGTTTTATTTAATTAATTTAAATTAATTAAAATTTACTAATAGCATAAATGGATAAATCACGGTCAGATTTCATATTTGGAAATCTTAGTTAACTAAAGAATATATAGTTATAAACATTCCATTCTGCAGGTGGAATTAAGAATAATTATATAGTAATGTGATAGTATCACGTGTTAGCATACCGCTGTTTTTATCCAGGTGTATTGATTTGCTCTAATATAAGATAAGATATCTTTTTAGGCAAAATAAAATTCGGCTTATAGAATCTGGTAGATTATTCTTATTGGATGGTTCCAGGAAATGACTAATGAGTTGGTTCAAATGTTATTTTAATTGAAAATCACAGGAGAGTAGGATACTATATGCCTAGGAGGATCTAGCCAGCATTGTAAGGGTTACTCAGTTGATTTAACTGTTAGCCAAGATTTTATGGCTTTTCGCTGTGTGAAGCTTACCCTCATAAATCTTATTAAGTGACAGAAGATGCTGTTAGCCATAGGAACGTGTATAGCCATTCCATTGTATTGCATACTTATGTTATACTAAATATCCACTGATTATTATCATGCATGCTGCCTAATATTATTGTTATGTTATATGTCACAATAAATAAATCTATTTTATAACAAATTGTGATTTAATTGTATGGAATACTTTTCACTTATTTGATAAACGATCTCTAAGATCTAAGAGAATTGAAATAGTGGGCAATTCTCAACTGCTTAATATTATTATCCCATAAATATCCCCACATATTGGAGGCACACCGCTGAGATCATTAAATTGAAATTATATTCCATAAAATAATTCTAAGGCGTTGCTATTGAGTAATTCATGCAATATTAATCTTGATATAGAAAAGAGTTTTGTATTGAGATTAAAGTGTATAGAAAAATGGCTGAATCCAGCACTTCATCTCAATCAGAGAATGGGAAGAAGTTAGCAGAAGTAAGTTTTTCCCTTAAGCATCTTTTATAAGCATCTAAAGATTAAAATGGATTATAAAGAGTGGGTACTCCAAATTAGAGAACAAGTTTATAATTCAATTCATGATAGATCGGACAATTCACCCATGGTTAAACATTTTAGCAACATAGAAGAAGACTCTACAATGCAATCTGTTACCAAATCATGCCCGTTTTTCATATTGGGTTATTCACTTATGTTAAAAAAGCATAATGAGATAGAACTTAAATTGGACAAGTGTCAGAAAGACCTGGTGCTTGAACAAAGAAGGTTCAACACTTTGTCTGCTGAAAATAATATCCTTCAGGTTAAAAACTCTGACCTTTCAAATAGACTGGAAGAAATGAGCAAAATGGTGAATGATTATGATCGACAGATAAAACAGATACAGATACAATTAGATGAATATCAAAAGGAAAGTGAAAAATTACTGGGAAAAGACCCAGGCGAATCTTCTCAATTCCCTGATATTCACACACCAAACCAGGTTTTCATAGAACAGTCTCAAAGAAAAGATGTGAGTAATTCTAAAAAATCACCTGTGGAACAAGATTCCCCATCTCATGACATTACCAAGCCATCTTGGCAATCTTGGGCAGAACAGTTTGAAAAGACTGTCTTGGCCAAACTTGAGAGGGAGAGTCCAATTCAAGGTGATAGGAATGAAAACAGACATGGTTCTGTACACTGGCAGAACTCTGATGCAGATCAGAATTGTGACAGTGAACGAGAAGCTCAGAGTGATGGGAGTGAAAGTGATTGCACTGTCCACTCTGAAGGCCATGTGACTGATATGCCATCTGCACTGTTGTACGGATCTAATTCCTCTTCAGCAGCTGGATCGCATAGACGTTTACCAAAAAGAAGGGTGGATAGAAACAGGATTAATAAATCAAATATGCCTGTTTATGAAACGCCAAAGGTTATTACATTCCTTAAAGGACCACTATAGTGCCAGGAAAACATACTCATTTTCCTGGCACTATAGTGCCCTTAGGGTGCCCCCCACCCTCAGGGTCCCCCTCCCACCCGGCTCTGGAAGGGGGAAAGGGGTTAAAACGTACCTTTTTCCAGCGCTGGGCAGGGAGCTCTCCTCCTCCGATCCTCCTTCTCTCCTCCTTCTCTCCTCCCCGTTGGCTGAATGCGCACGCGCGGCAAGAGCTACGCGCGCATTCAGCCGGTCGCATAGGAAAGCATTATCAATGCTTTCCTATGGACGCTGGCGTGCTCTCACTGTGAAAATCATGGGGGAAGGCTTAACCCATTCAAAAACATAGTAGTTTCTCTGAAACTGCTATGTTTATAAAAAAAATGGGTTAACCCTAGCTGGACCAGGCACCCAGACCACTTCATTAAGCTGAAGTGGTCTGGGTGCCTAGAGTGGTCCTTTAAAGAGACTGTCCCACAATTTTCTAGAGGTTCAGGAAACATATCTGAACATCTGGAAAATTATGAAAGAGCCATGAATTCATTGGGCATGTATGATGAAATCCAAAAGAAATGGTTCATTACATGGACCTTTGATTCAATGTGCCATGTTTATCTAGAAAGTCTTCAAGCTATACAGCTAATGTCCTGGTCCAAGATGAAATATGAAATAATCATGGAATATGGTAAGTATAAAACCATTGCCTCTGCTATGAAAGCGCTTTATAATTTAAAGTGCTGTCCAGATCAAAGCCCCAGAGAATTTTTAATAATTCTTAAAAATGCATATTCCGTGGCCCAAAGGAAACCCAGGTATGAAAGTACAGACTTCAAAGATCTGTATTTTCATGCCATGCCGGTAAACATGCAAATGAATCTCGCAAGAGATTATGATTGTAAGTTACCATTAGAATGACTAGTCAGTCAGTGCATGAAATTGTATACTATACACCATGCACATGACGAAAATCAGCCAAAGGTTAAGAAACCTGGTGATAAAATGGTGTCAGAGACTAAAATTCAGCTGGGTTTAGAAACCCAACAGAAAAAGAGGACCTATTCTGAGGTTTTGAAAACACCAAAACCTCAGAAACAGGAAAACGCCAGAAGCAATCCTGTAAACTCCTCTGATAGTAACTCTGAAAAGTCCAATGCCAATGGGAATAAACGCCCCTGGGTTAATAAGAACCAAGGCAATTCCCAATGGAGAAGGAATCCTCAGGGAAATAGGAGATATGGAAACAAAAGTAACCAATCTGCTTCCAATAACTCCCAACAGTCTCAGCCATCCCAGCCAAATTCGAATGGGCAAAGACAAAACGGCAATGGGGGAAATAATTTGCGTCGTCAGGTTGGTCAATTGACAGACCAGATGGGCAAATTAATGCAGGAAATGACAAAGATTAACCAAGTCTTTGCCAGAAATCCTTTTTTAGGGACAGCTCCAATTGCAGAGCCACCTGTGCAACTGCAGCAGCAACAGGTGCCGCAGCAATAATAGCCACTGTGACTAAACAGGCTAGGTTGTCAGTAGATGTAATACCTAACCCTGTTTCCTTTCCAGATACTCACAGTCAAACAAACAATAGTTGTGTTTGGAAACCTATTGCCTACACCTTCACTTCCGAGTGAAGGAGGCGCAACGTGTTCCTCTGTTTTTTCATTTCAGCCAAAGGCCAAAATTAGCCCCGGCAGCCACTAGTTTCCAGGACCCAGACCTGAAAGGGTTAACTGATGAGCTGCCGACCACTAGTTCCCGCTTGACAGTTCAAGATATTCCTAAGAAGAATGGGCCTGTGGGTAAGACTGAGCATTCCTCAGTACAGGTAGAAACTACTGCTGTGACAGGTAACGTATGGAAAACGAGTGATATGTTGACACATTCAAACTTCTTATGTGAATTAGAAGAACATGAAGGAAGGTACTACATGTCTGTAGAAATACAGGATTCGCTACCCCAGCCTTTCAAAGGGTTAATAGATACTGGTTCAAAAGCCACTATCTTATCCAATACCTACTTCCAGCAGGTAATGGACTTAGCAGCGGATAAGCCGAAGCTAAGAGATTTCCCCAATGCTCTGTTGAGTGTAGGAGGAAATGCCCTTCATGTTATTGGCAATACCTGGTTAAAGTTTAAAATAGGTAACAAAACCTTTAGACATCCGGTGATAGTGGTAGATCTCCCCTATGACCGACTGATTCTGGGTATAGACATACTCAGAAGACGTAACACAATTATTGACTGTGTAAATGGAATTGTATGGTCACAAGCTAAGGTTCCTATAACCTATGAGAAATCACATGTTCAATCCGATCGTAACTGCCATGTGATAGAAGAAAGACCTGACTCGATTGAGGTACATTTTAGGAATAGTCAGTCACCTGACGTGACTATCCTGCAGGTGAAAGATGCAATCGCACCTGTAGATGAGCATTCTGTAAGAGTTGCTCCAGAGAGGATCCAGAATGTCTCTCTGGAAGGTGATGTTTTAACCATTTCTCTCCACAGGGACTATGTTGAATCTGTAGATCTGGCAGGTCATGCTCAATTCCTTGCCAGAATTGAAACGGTTAATAACAACTTATTCTTTCCTATTCAAATAAATGACTTAGGAAGAAGTAGGAATGCAAAGCTGGACTTAAAGAGCGAGAACAGCTATATTAGAGAAGTCTGTTTAGGCAGATCACTAATCCTAAAATGATCAGGTACGCTTCCCCACATGACAGGTGGATCCAGAACCTGGATGGCGAATCGGAGAGTCACAATGTGATAGCAAAATGTTTACTTTATATTTCCATCGGAAATAAGACAGTTAAACATTTATTCCTAGTGATAAATGAACCTCGCTATCAGGTTTACATCTTGACCTGATTAATTCCAACTTGTGGACAAGGTTAAAAGGTAATCCTTGTGGATACCTACACGAGGAAAACACCCTGAAATCAGGACAAATACTCCCATATGCGGTAAGTATCCAAGTTCTTGATGACATAACCATTCCACAAGGGACAAGTAACTTTCTTTTACCCCTACATGTCAAGAAGGGTCAGAGATTGAAAAACTCTGATGCCCTAATCTGTTTATCCAACAGGATACAACAATTAGGGATGGTGGTAACACATACACCAATCGTAAGTATTGGTAATAATCCCACCTATATAATG